CTTTTAAGCGAATTGTTTTAAAACTGCACATTGTCATGTTGACATGATCAAACCTAAAACTTATAAAGAGCTGAAGTGGCTTTTGGGAAATTGGCTTTTTGAAAATGTTGGTATCATGTGCAAGTTGTGTGTTGTCTCGTTAATTGTTTTACCGTCGTTTCACACAGAATAATGACCAAATCATTAATGTATATTATTCCAAGACCGTATGTTTGTCGACTGTGCATTATAATAGTACTTCGAAAAAACTCGTTTTTATAAGAAAAATAAACCTACCAAATGATTTGTTTCAGATTTTTAGATAATTGGAAAAAGCAAAATACACGACTGAGGTATTGTTGCACGATGTATACCGTCGGGACACGCGTGTTTTTATTGTTGTTGTTTTCAACGGCTGAGAACAACGTTAGGTTATCTCATTGAATTATATAAACAATTATTCCGATCGGATCCATCGGTTTTCCAAAATAATAATATACTGATCGTGGTATTGACCAGAACGTATACACTCACCGATTTCCTACGCAGTGTTTTTTTTATTCCGTTTTTTTTCCGCTCCCAAACCTTTTTAAATTTTCAATCTACGTAAAAGATAGGGTAAAACGGTTCACGATTTTATTAACGTCCGTGAATTCAAAAGGCACATGCCGTAAAGCTATATATTTATTATGGCTCCCTCGCCACATATGTTATATCGAATTCTAAAACAGTTTTAAATGTGTGATGCAATGCTAAAACAAATAATTAAATTGAACGTATTATTATTTAGTCTATAGTATAGCTATTATTTTCACAAATGAAGGACATGCAGTAAAATCCAAAACAAGTCCACTATTTAAAACTTTTTATCAACAACTTTTATAATTTTTTTTTTTTTTTTGAAAATTATACTTATTTATATAACTTTGTATTTTATAAAAAATTTTGGGCATACACCTATGGTAATTTTTAGTTCGTCTGTATTTTATATTTCTATACACATTTTACGAAAATGTAATAACAAACTTACCGCCTTGCATTGACATTCTTAGTTTTCCTAACGATTTTATTTATTTATTTATTATTAAAAAATATAACATATTATTTTACATAAAACCTAACTATTAATGACATAAACTAAGTTGATAAATACTACTTATATTTACCTGTTATATCAGAGTAAGGCTATTATTTGCAGCAAAAATCACAGAAGTCTGTACTTATCTGATTCTTGTAACAATAAAAAGATTATCGGTTAAGTTCATTTACTATAAAAACTATACTTATATATAACAAAGTAATCTGGTTATTGCATCCACTATATATTTTTTTTTATACCCTAAAAAAAATGCAATTTCTAAAAATTGAAATTGTCTGGGTTTTATGGTTAATCATTTCAAGTTGTATATCTACGTTGTTTCCGTGTTAAAATATTTTACAGCATTAGTAACGATGCTATACAGCAAAATATATTGACGTTATTATTACGCCTGATCGCGCGTTCAAATGATATTATTAAAATATTATATACCTAACACATCGATCAAATAAACAAACGGACACTATGTATGCTTGTCCTAAACGTAAACAAGTTGTTACGTATTTATGTTGCATTAAGTATGCCCGTCGTGTACGTTTGCTTTCCATCAAAAACACGACTTACATGCTTGACTGTTTTAGATGTAAACGGGATGATTATTTATCATTATACAACCATTTTTCGCATATTGTATACGTTTTAAAAAATATTTATTTGTACATTATTTAAACTAAAACTCACAACTACAAAAAACACTTAGAAAAAAATATCTTTTTTTCTATTTTTTATCGTTGTACAAGTTTTTCAAAGACAACATACATCTTCATATTCTATAACAAAATATACGGATAATTTGATTTATAAAAATCAAGTATTGAAACAGCTAATTTTTCATTTAAAAGATTCTGCCAAAAAAAAAATTTAACTTTTTTTATTATTTCTGGAGGCCGTACTTAAAGGGTTAATTATAACTATTGTATACGCATTTAAAATGTAGAAGTTTTTAGTACGAAGAGTCTACGCCAAAAAATTTTAGCTTATTAGTATGGTAACAACTATAATTCTCTGCAATACCTTGAAAACTTACATAAGTAATTTTTAGTACTTAAAATTTTGATTTTTAAACATTTCTCATAAAAAATATTCTGTTTCAAAATATTAAATTAAAAATAAACATTATCATTTAAAATATTACAAACCATTATTATTATTATTATTTTCTTAATGTTATGTTTCTTTGTTGTTATTTTTTTCTGTTGATTTTAAATAATGTAATTCAAAACATTGACAAAAACTCACTAATTTACCTGTAAAATGACTAGAGCGATAAAATAATAGTCTTTTACGGTAGGAAACGCGCGCAGAATTCGTCGTCGAGAGATTGCCAGATGTGACATATATATCCATCAATCGCGCCTCCCCGCACTAGACCCGAATTAAACGTCAACGATTCAAGATAATTCTCCAGCCCCGGTGTTCAAACGAATGTGTTAAAATTTCTCGCAATGTGACTATAAACTAGCTAGTACTTACTCAAATAGTATGTACGAGTATTATAAAAATAACCGTTGATAGTCTACGTGTTTTCTACATCTTACCGTCGACTTCGATCAAGCAACAGTATATAATAATAGTTAAAATTATATTATTTTATCAACTGAAATAATTGTATTAATTATTACATTGAGTCGAATAAAATGTTTAACGATGGGAGACCAAATTTCTCGAACAAACTGTGACAGTTTGGTTACAATAATTCACATTGAAACGGAATGCTTTTGGGAATTGGCCGACTGGGAAAACTGCGCACCGAGTAATTATTACGCCGATACGGCTAAAACAACACAAACTCGACCATATTTTGAAATTCCGTGTGTATGGTGCCAGGAAAGTATCTTAGCCTTCCGATAGTATAATCAGTCCAGCGTCTGTTGTACATCATTATTTGTATTGTCTGCAATACGCACGCAGTCATCATCGGTATCTCGACGTTTGAACTTTAAAACCGAGATGACCTATGAATAACGATTTCAAACAAAATCTTTTGATAAAATATTAAGTGTTTCGCAATAAGCGGCAGTAAAAAACACGGATTATGTTAACTTCCAATATCCGTTATTCATATTTATCCTGATAACATATTATATTAGTGCAAACATGATTATAATTAAATCGATAATGTGCAATTTACGAACTAATTTAATCAACGATTACCGTAGATTCATTTTAATAACAATGCAGTCAGTTCAAATATGAATTGTAGTAATAAAATGTACAACGTAATAGTAATTTAACTTAACAATTTGAAAAATTATATTTGTCTAAACTCGGTCACTTGGTACAATAAATTACAATATGTTCACAATTAATGTCATAGATATTTTTCAAAAATGTATTATGTTATTGCGATACGTTCATAAACGCTAAATTTAAATTTTCTATAAAAATAAAATTTTTGCGGTGAAGGGCTGACTAGTAATATTATTATGGTTTTGAATTGACCGTTCCTATCTCTCGACCCATGGAACCGAAAAATCTTCCATTTAAATTCTCAGATAGTTCAAATGATCGTGTGAACGTTAGGACAAAAAAAATAATAATATTACATTATAAAATAATTTTACTAATGATACTATTAAATAATAATAATAATATATCCACGTTATATGATGAGCCACTGTGTTTTATAAATCGTTTGATTCGTTACACGATATGATCGTTCGTACGCACGTGGTGATCATAATATAATGTAATATCATAACAATTTTAATCTCTGTTATATAATTATACAGTCGTAAAACTTTCAAAAATTGAACATAAATAATGAACGGTTTTCCGATGGCTTCACGCAATATAAATTTAATTTAAGTGCCAACGTAAAAAAGGCTATTACTTTTCGCCAAATGATTATTCAGTTGAAATGCTATATTGGTATGCACTATTAAAAAGTCACTAAATAATTTAACAAAAATTATATAGGTAATTATTTAGCATAAAATATAAACTGTGACTCATATATTCAAGTATTATTCAAAAATGATCTGATCTTTGTACAGTCGTCGTTAAAACAGGTCGCAAAAGGTTTACCTTGAACGCAAATAATTTGGATATCCTTTAAATTATCTCCTCGGAATTCAATCGACTTACATAAGAAGGGTTACAAATTTATCTTTAAAGTGTTTTATTTATACTTTTATTATTTTTTTTTTTTTTTTGTTATTATTTTTACCAAACGAAAAAAATGTGCGAAATGAACCTATACGCCCTAAACACAGATCAGACAATATGGAATTGGCTTCCAGATTATAATAAAGTGTACAAATTGATTTCTAATAAAAATTACTTATCGTCATACAACTGTTCAAATTGGTTTACATACACACAAATATTTATATAATTTTTACTGTTGTTACAAATTTTACAAGTACATATAATATGCTTAAAAAATATACAATTAACCTTAACTATTTTACTATTAACTTAAAAATTTTTAAAACTAAATTGAATAATCTAATTTAGTATAAAAAAAAAAAGAAAAAAAATACTATTTAAAATTACTGTGGGGAAAAAATCCAATTTATATTGAACTTCTTAAAAAACAACCGGTATCAAATACTCTTAAACTTTTTGATACCTAGATTTTATTATAGAAAAACAATTGGAAAATTTTTTCCCATGTTTGTGAATTAAATATTAATCATAAAAGCATAAATAACAACTCTATAAGTTTAAATTTTAGTGGATAATATTATGTTTCAATTTATATGCTCCAATATATTTAGGAATATTATAATGATATGTATTTATTTTGCATTATTTGGGTATTTAAATACATTTTTGAAAGTTTACCACTCATACGACCAAAAGGATTTATATATTTATTTATTTATATTTACGTACTACCACTTAAACGTATATTTAGAAGAATTTTCAAACCCTGTCGTATAATATTTATTAAAAATCAGCACTCGTTATGTTTCAGACGTAGCGATTAACAAACCGTGTTTTTTTAACGAGCAATGTGAGAACCTCGTATTTCAAACAGAGTGCAGGGATGATGTTTGCGTTTGCCGGTTCGAGAAGACTCCGGTATTCCAAACGGATGGAACAGTCCAATGTATTGGTAGGTATAAAACATACTGTTTTAATATCCAAATCTAACATATATTTATTTATTTAACTTTACAAATATTATCAGTTATCACGTTTAGAAGAGCAGAAACAAATAAATAATTTACACGCGAATCCTGATTTGCGATAACAATGTGCAAAGCAAATTTTTTTTTTGCTTAATGATTTCATTTTTTCTATTTACCTCGACAAAACGTTTTATATGCTCATGGTATTATTTCATACTTTTAAAAATAAATTTGATCACTTTTTCGGGTTAATATCATTTAAAAATAAAACTTGCTATATAAAAATTATTTAAAGTAATATACAGATTTACTTACAAAAATAAAGTGTTCAATACACTAATTATTACAATATATTTCTTGAAATATTTAAAACACATTCAAGTCAATTGAGTAAGCTGTCAAATATTAATAAAAAATTCTTCTATACCATATCGTATAAATGGTATCGTTATATTTCACATAAATTAAATTTTAAAATATATTTAAACTACACATAGGTACTTCTAAAGCATTTTATTCAGTTTTCTTCGATTGAAGATGACGACATTGAAATTCGATCTCGTTATTTGTTACTATACATATAAAAAAAAAATTGTTTAATTATCATAACAGAATATATTTATTTTCATTGAGTATTGTTATAACTATTTACTTGTTTTATTTTATTTTTAGCAAAAAACAGTTCTAACTCCGAACCTTATACTGATCCAGCAATGTTATGCGTGTTGGCTGGGATGTGCTTGATGTTCATCATAATATGTGTTGTACTGAGATTGTTTAGCAAGTAAGAATTTTGTCTTTTTACTGTTATAAATGAAATTCCTATTCTTCAAACATCATTCGTACTACATACCCTGATGATTACGTTAATTTACGTTAATATTGTATTATCGCTGTACGTCAACAATAGTATATTTATGGTAGTATTAATCAGTTATTACAAATCGTAAACAATCTACCAGCTAGATACATGTAATATTATAAATATCAAATAACAATATAATATTATCATAAAAGGAACTATAGGCAAGTATCAGAATTAAATATTTATAGGTTTAGATGTTCATAAAATTTATCTTCCGCAACTTATTCCTAATTGAATAGATATTACATTATTATTATAATCAATAAAATCCAAGTCAGACAAAAGTTTTCGTAATCAATTACATGGTAGTGATAAAATATTTTAAAACATTTTCATACACATTTTCCACTACTAAATTTAAACTGTGTATTAGAAAACGTAGTATATATGTGAAGATTATAGTCGTATTTTCAAATCTGTAATGAAAATGACAATCTATAGTAATAGTTGTTTTCACACTTATGTCATATGTGGACGATAAATACTAAACTTTTAATATTTGTCATATAATCAAAATATGCGGTACATAAACTCTTAAAGTCTCCACTACATCTAAACTTTTAATAAATAATTATATTAAAGCGAGTCAACTATTTTCATAGTACTATGTTCAATAAATAAATTGCTTCTAAAACAAAAATATTATCAAATGTAAATATTGTAATACAAGAATACAATATAATTAACTACTATTTCAGATATCTTTAAAAAGATAAAAATCATTTTAACTGTTGAAATCATTTAAATATAAAAATAGTCAATACTTAAATTCTAAACTAGGTAATAATTTATTGATTGGATTGTTGTTTTCATTATCAGAATTTTCTGTTATTCTGATTTTTGGGAAAAAGAAAAATACTCGTTCAAAGTATTTAAAATCCGTAAAAATACCTTTATATAGGTATACATCCATAGATACTAGAGATGTTCCGGGTATCCGGCAATTACTCGGTACCAACATAATACCTACATTTTTACTCGACCAGTACTCAGTACCCGGTTTACAACAAATTATCAACCCGAAACATCTATATTAAATACCAATGATACCATACAAACTTTCCGTGTTTTTTATGAATAAAAAACGACTTGAACAAAATAAAATAAAATACACAGCCGTAACTCCTCTCGTACGGTTATCATTTGAAAATATGATTGATATTATCTACAATTTTCTGCATTCGCAAAAATAATTTAAATAATACAATGGTAACATGCGTGATATATCATGCACAGCAGCAATAATATGCGTACCGCGTCATATTATTTGGACAAGAACATATTGTTTTAAACAATAATAACGGTTCGGAAAAAAAATCCGACTGTTTATGGATTTTAATTTTTTTCGTTTTTTTCTACAGGGCACGTTGGAGAGAAAACCGTACGATATTCAACACGCCCAACCCGAGATTGATGAACGTGTCGCTACTGAGAGACAACAAACCGCCGCCCGGAGCAGCCGGCGAACGTAGAGGTAGCAAATCCAGTACAAAGACCCATTCCCCTTCGAGACAACCAAGCATGGCCTCGTTGAAGCCCCAATCGCCTTCTTTAGGTTAGAAACCTCTATCTCTATCTATTTAAAGCTTCTTCGTCTACTCCGTGGAGATCGTTTAAAATATTAACGCGACACGCAATGCGATCTTTAAATCTCGAACACTTATTATTATTTATAATACCGTGGTATATTATGAACCATCCAACCTGCACTTCCGTGGAAATCGTTCTGTTTTACCGTGCAAACGAGATAATATTATGTTTGAAACAAAATTTCACACATTTTGGCTTTGGCGAAAAATCAACTAAATATTTTTTCCCTCGATCGCAATTTATAATATTATAATACAATATACGTAAATGGATCCCAATTCATATCATTATTTTTTCGTCATCACTCATCATATATTATACACTATTATCGTTTTTTTACAATCGCCTCTAACAATAATTATGAACTCATACGAACCCGTACGATGTACGGCCCATATAATATTATTATAATCCTGGTCGTAGTTTTCGACTAATTTTATTTCTCCCGATGAAATGTCATCCTGACCGACCGAAACGTCCCTAATAATGATTGACGTTACGTCCATCGACATTTTAATTAGGTACCTGTTATATTATTAAAGTAGAGTTTATAATGTTATCGGTCAAGTTGTGGCATATGAATTTCTATTCATGCTACTCAGTTTGAATGAACGAAACAAAAATAACGCAGTTTGTTGTTATTGACCAGCCACATGATATTATGTGGCTGATAAAATCTCGTACGATTTTTGTATATTTACCAACAATCGGTTTCCACCCACGTGATTATACACGATCGTGACACGGTATCGGTTCGAAAATGATTTCGTATTGAATTTTATTCTCGAGACACTTTTTGTCTAGAGAGATATTTCCGCGATGGTTCAGTATATTTTTTTTTTTTTTACCTATCGCCAAACAAAACGATTTCACGAGTTTTAGAACATTCGATGTTTGATAGAACGTCATCGCGACAGTTTTTACAGTAACCATTAGACGTTTCCTCATACAATATAATAATTATTTGTCGAATTGATATCACAAACAAACTTATACACTTCTGCAACGTTTCTATGCGAAATTTAAAGTACATGATAACACGATAAAAACAAAAATGTGCAGCATATTTATTATGTATATAAAATTACAAATGAGCTTGGGGCACACTAACGAGCAACGTGCAACTTTTTTTTAGAACACAATATAATATCATTGTTATTATTTCAATTAATTTAATATGGCTGACATTTTCTCCCGATATAGATTTTAAAATTTTGATTTCATAAGCGTTTTTCAGTCGTTCACTACGTTATCAACAAATCGTATACATACATACGAGTATACATTATCTAAATTATTGATATGAACAATTTTTCGGGACTTATCGTCAAGATTTCACTCGACTTTTAATTAATGCTATGATCAGTTCTTATTTTATACGACTTTCCGCCACTATTTGTGTGAAATATTGCTAAATATCACAATGCTTTTATATGACATGTTTACATTTTGTATTTTAATTTTTCTTTTTTTAAACACGTCCAATAGTCATCGTTTTCGTACACTGTAATAATTTAGAGGTATTATATTATTATTATTATTATTATTATTATTATTATAAATGTTGTTATTACTGTTTTTGTTGTTCTTGTTGTTGTTTTTGTTATTTTTTATTATTATTATTATTAAATAACAGCACATACAAATATGTAGTGTTACACCGATAAATACAACTAATGCATTTATAACCGTATTGAGTATAATAAATATTACTATCTATACTCAATGATATAATATAGGAAACGTCAAAATAAATTTTATTATTTAATATTTTTCTATAACAATACGTTTATATTATTATTATAATTTTTCTATTTATCGTTGATTGAATCACATCAGTAGATATTATCTAATTTACGATGCCTATATAGTATATACATATATGGGTACGTGCATTTCTACATAGTTCTTCTTAATTTTAAATTCATCTATAATAAATTTGAAACTTAAATATTTTATTCAACACGTAAACCGAGTCTCTTTGCTTTCAAATTGTGTTTTTTAATTGGACACGTCGTTTATTTGTATTTCATAACTTGTTCACATTATTAAGTACCACAATGATATGCAGATGATTACTGAATATTAAACCAAAGTGTATTTCAGATTGTATTGACTTTATCAACAGTACTTGCAGACATTCAACCATGGATGAATTATAAAACAAACGATTGTACATACTAAAATAATATTGATATATTTTAAACGCAGACATAAAAAAAAAAGTACTATTTAAACATATTATTTCATATTGTCTAAAATGATTTAAAAGCCGGCTGTATTTATAATCACCTCAAACCAATGATTTTTTTCCAATATTAAATTAAATAATAAAATGTAAAAAAAAATGAATTAGTACACTTCAAGCTCCTCGTTTGTATAACACCGAGAGGGTTACCATTTAAAGTAATAATTAGAGCAGTTTGATTATTATTATTGATGGAATTTCGAACATAATAAAATAAAATAACTTAAAAATTCGATGTAAAATAAAATACAACAATAGGTCCGACGATTTATTACTATAATATATACTTTTATGAATGCCTGAAAATTTAGTGAGTTATGAGTTTATGAAATAAAATAATTTTTTTTAATTTTAATCTATAATGTTATAGACTCGGTTTAAACGTAAACTAATTTTATAAAATATTTGATTTTTTTTCTTTTTTTTACATATTTTATCACTGTTCTAAATAGTTTATGTTGTTGTAAAGTATCTATTAAAATATAGTAGGACGTACTGCATGAATCTTTTCACCCGTTTATTCTACCGTAGATAACACCTGATGTTCGGGAAATTATTTTATATTTGATTCTACTTATTTCAATCATTGTTCTCTACACACACTACATTATATATACAATATATATGTTTGCCGAGCAGAATAGTATGTATCAAAAATTTAACGCTTGTTCTTTTTTTTCCATTGAAAAAATATTAAGGTCGCGGAGTTCGGAGCAACAACAACGGCGGTAACTCAGAAAGCATAAGATCTCCGACTACTAAAAGTCCCATGGCACTTCCGGCAGAACCAAAAACATCTGTGGCTGTGGACATACAGCCCGCCGTGTGAATGTAACATCGGACGATATACACTTGCATCGCGTCACCATGTATTAATGCTTAACCGGTGTCAGGACATCATAGGCAATGATTTTATTTTTAAACAAAATTATTCTTCTTCTTTCTACTTTATTCGCAAACGGGCTTGATTGCTTTTGGGACCATGGCTACTGGTTTATTCATTTTTCAATAACATTCAAACATAATATTATCAAAACATATAATTATAGTTTTTAAAAATCTTATTAAAAAAAAATATATACATATTTATACATATATACATCGATAAATCGCAATAACTGCGTGCTATATTTTTAAAACTATTTTAATACTTGGAATTCACGATGCTTAGAATATTTAAGACGAAGCGCTTGGCAACATTAGCCAAGAGCTATTCTACACACAATAAAATACTTTTACAACATGAATTTGTATTACTTAAATATTTAAAAATAATTTAACATACTCATTATAATAATAATAATAATTACGCTATGAACTCTTCATTCATATAAGTATAATATATATATATATACATAATATAAAACATATTATACACAATATAAATATATATTTATTTCTTAGACTCACGAAATTTTGAAATATTCGTAACTATAACTAATACACATTTTTTTTTAAATTATTATTAAACATAATATCATTATATAATTAATTACTTACATATACGACGTATCATCCATCAATTAACAATGTATAGAATTTTTTATTTCGTTTAAGTAATTTAAGTATTGTAAATGTAAATTTAAAAACTTTTTAAATTAATATAATATTATATTATACATAGCTTGTAATTGCGTTCAATGTAGTGTAATCGTATAATATTTATGAATAATAATAATAAATATGACAAGACATTTTTTATTCTTTAGATTGTAAGTTAATATTATACATAAAAAAAAAAAAAAAAAAAACAATACGTAAACGATAATAGTATTAGGATGTATTACATGTATTTATTTCCATAAATGCGTTTCGGAAAGGCGATATGGACTCACCATTATTTTTAACCGTTTACAGGGGTCTAAGGTGGATCTAGAGACTCGAGAAAACAGAGGGAAGGTTTTCTTGAGTTCAAAAACGCCTTAGAACTTGTAAACGTAAATTTAAAATAAAAATAACGGTTTTTTCTTAACGTTTTTCGTCATTGTAATTATTATTTCAATAGATATTAATTATTATCTTTAATTAAATATATTTAGAATAAAATGGTAGAGTTTAAAAAATATTTAATCTACATTTTTTTTTTCATAATATTTTACCCTAATTTATTAATTAATTATACGTTATTTATGTTTGCAATAAACTGCTCAATAAATTTAGACGTTTCAAAAGAGCAGCTTGCTTTTATAAATGTAATATTTTGTTCAAGTTACATTGTTTGTCCCTTTGTGATAAATGCTAAAACTTTCTATTTAGTTACTTTACATGTCAAATTAATCTTAAACAACCATGTATATTGTTTTTAGACTCAAATTTTTTAGATTAAGATTAAAAGCACTTTCACATTTTTTTTTTTTTTTTTTACATTATATTTTTAAAATAATTTATAATACCTATTATATCTATTAGTGATATTTTTGTAATATTTTTACCACTATTCGTTTCTTTTAAATTATAATCATTTTATCCTGTTATTATTCTCCTCCTTTACCCAATAAAAAAAGTATATCAAAACACGTTTGTTTATTTTTATTTACACCGGCTAATCATCGGCTATCAGTGAAAAAAAAAATGATACATTAAATAATTTACTTATATTTAAAGGCTATTTACTATATTAGATACCTTAACGTGTAATCTTGTGTGGTTTTTTATATACCTTCTAAATTATTAAGTTTTTATCATTTATATAAGCAATATTACAATAAAAGCATCTACCAAAAAAATGCATTTTTCTAAAAAAGTGTAGTTATACTGTTATTATTGAAAAAACTACAGCATCTGTGTATCTAAACTAGAAAATATTCTACACGATTTAATATAATTGTTAATTTACAAATTTTATTCAGAATTTCAGTACAAATCTAGTAAAAAAAAAAAAAAAACAAGTTGATAAAAATTAAATCGAATACCGAAAATCAAAAATCAACTACTATTAAAAACATAAAAAAATTCAAAATATTACACTATTAAATAAAGAATCTCAAATATTTTTTACAAAAAATAACTATATTATAAGTAAATATAAATATTATATATCACAAATTAATAGAAAAAATTTAAAGAGAACTAAGTATATTTAACATTATTACATATTACATTATACAATTTTAATAGTATAAATTACATCTAAATTATACGTACCTATTAAAAGTTAGCCACCTTAAATTCAGAAAATATGTTAAATGAAGCATAAATATTTCCAATAAATAATGTAATGATTATTTCGTAAACATTTTTTTATAATATTTTGTAAGATAAAATATTTGTTTATAAACTATGCTTAAATTCTAAAATGTTTGTTGATTTTCCAAGAAAACATAACATAAAAATGACAATTCGCAATAGCCTTATATTAACGATATAGCATTTTCAACATTTTTGAGAATCATAGTCAAAATCAAATGCCGTAGCCGAACATCTAGTCATTTACCCGGAGTATTTTTTATTTACCAAATTTTACGACACACTAATGGTTGGTAATAACTGGGTACCAGAATAGTTATGTAGATATAAAAGAAGTCCTACTAGTTTATAGGTTTCTAGACCTACGGAGATCGACATAATATGAAACACTATGATCGGATTGCTTATCATATTTCGGGCAAAAATCTTACAAGTGCCCCTCGTTATGATTGAAATGAGTTATTAATTATAAGTAAATAAACGTTCATTTCTTATTTTATTTTGATCGAGATAAGTCCATAATATGTATCTATGCTTGTGTTTATTTGAATTTCTTCGATTAAGATGATTAATTTAATACTTTATAATTGATAATACCCGTGTTAGTAATAATTAATAAAGAAACAAAGATAAAAAATGTAAATACAAATCGATGCTAATATAAAAAAAAAATAATAAATTTAAAAAAATTATCCTACTTTGTATCTAAAACAATGTTTCCAAAAGTCGAAGAATCAAAGCTAATAAAGAACGAGTTTAGCAGATTAAAAGGTAAGTTATTTTACTCATTTTTAATTAAATTAATATTATATTTTTAGTTATTAATCATATACTTTACCAAACTTAAATTTTAATTTATTTATCATTAAGTTATTTCCTTAATGTTTGAAGATATATTTCCATAAGTTAAAAAAATACATATTTAATTAAAGTTTATATTACAAAAAAATAATGAGTTGCTTTTTTGCATTGGTTAATGAAGTCTTAACTTTTAACTTTTTCATCAAAAACTTGTTAAAAAAAAATATTTATAGTCATTAAACACAACATTCGCCGAATACTAATATCTAATTATAACTTATATTCTCTTTGAAATTAAATATTTAAATTCACTCAGAAACAAATATATACACGAGCATATTAAAGTTTGATTATATAGAATATATATAGAAATACTGAATGTTCTTAATTGAATTTATATTTACTGGTCGACATAGTACAGTTTTAATTGAAATATAATTTTTTACATAAGTAGTATAACATTTTTTTTCTTTATTCAAATACATTTTAATATAATATAGGGTACATCTAAATATCCAACATATTATAAATTACAACGATAATGTTAATAGTGTTGCAGTTATGTCGTACTCAATCATCGTTCGTTTAAGACAATTACTGTAAATTGGTTGATATACTAATAATGAGGCGTATTTAAACATAACCTTGGAGTATTACAAGAAATATATCTTCTACAAAACGTTTAATACTCTTTTGATTTATTTATATAATTATTATATCATTAATTTTTCAAAACTATTACAGAGTAATTCATCAAATATACTCAATCCAAATTTTTAATTTAATAATGCATTTATTCGAATTCTGATTTTTGGAATTTTTAAATATTCTTAAAGATCATATTTTCAAATTCTAGAGATTTCTTTATAATATTTAAGAAATGTTCTATGGTAATACAAACTTAGGTTTTTCAAATGGAAAACCCATTTTTTACTGCAAATTATTTTATATTGCAAATAATCGTCATTTCTCATTGATTTTCTAACGTTCTGAAATATATATATTAATATTATGTTACTGACTCGATTACAACCTCCCCGGATAATTAAGCAATGAAATACATTTTCAATAGCACCAACTGCTCTATTTTTATGATTAATTTAAATTTTTTTCAGTTATTTACGGTTGAAATAACTATCGCTTGACCATATTAAAAATCTACGCAATATGTTAATTTGATATTTAATTTTTCTGGACTGACGCAGGCTTAGACTAATATGCTCATGAAGTTATCTTCATTTATTTACACTAAAATACATTTTATATTTTCTGAAGTGAAGTCGAGTAATGCAGATAATATATTATGATACAGATTAAAATTATACCATAATAATATCATATACACTTAATGTTTTGCTTTACGGTTTAAATATTATCTATTCTTAAATCCTAAATGACGCAAATTGCGTTAATTAATGACAGCTGACATTTCATGCAACAATAATAACATTATGATTTCGTAACTATTTAATCTAATACTATATTTTGTACAAAACTTTTCCATTATTATTATACTACGATCTTTTTTTTAAGGAATTTGTTATCTGGACCACGTGGGTTCAGCACTGTACGCTGACAGTCAAATAAACAACGTGATGAAAGATCTAAAAACTAACTTGTACGGAAATCCTCATTCGACTGGTGTTCCTTCAGAAGCTTGCGAAAAACTCATAAATAATATTCGATTTAAGTACGTAAATCATTAAGTAATATTATGCAGTTTTATATTCACATAAAATAATACGATATTATCTGTCGAAATAAAATAAAAATTCAACTTATAAATAAAAAAATAAACGAAAACTTACGTTCGACCAACCATGTTTTAGTTTTGCTTTTAATACTAAGCCCTGTGTAGAATCTATTTAATAAATTTGTCATATTTTATGCGATAGTTAAATACTGTAAGCAGGTGATTTCAAATACGAATGTTGTAAAACGATAATAGAGCATTATATAATACACTATTATAGTTATTAGAAACCGGAGCTCATCATTTAGGTTTTTATTTTACACGTTGAACAATAAATTATAAGTATTTAAAGTTTTGATAATTGGAGAAGAATACCTTACAAAGCATTAGTTTACTAATACGCTCATCAAAAATTTAAATAAGTACTCATAGAATTACAATAGTTATGACTAATTGACTAGGTTAAAAAGTAAAAACCAATCAATTACATTATGATTTACTTAATAATTTATATTAAAAAAGAAATTATTGAAAAGGGGTAAAACAAATGTTTGCAATTTATCGTATATCTCGTCACAGAAAAAATCCTTAACTAGTGCAAAGAGTCTTGAGAATTTAAAAAAAATGATCTAAAAGCGTATTTCAAAGTTTCAAAAATTAGACCTTGAATACATTTATCATTAAATAAAAAAATGGGAGTGAGCATATTGGATAAATCACTTTATAAAATATGCGTCGTATTTTATTATAATCGTTTAACAACGCTTTAATTGTTTTCGTCTCATACCCTCCCAGGATCCTCGAACACTTTAACACGGTACCCGAAAAGTACAGCGTAGTTTTCACGTCGGGTGCCACCGGAGCATTGAAAACTGTAGCTGAATGTTTTGCGTGGGACGAAGACGACGACTACCAATCAAAAGACGCATTAGGTGAGATAATAACATTTTTTGTTTATTAGTCATCGATTAATAAAGATACAATGATATAGATGTAGATATTCAATGATTAAGTAGTTCTTTAATTTTGATTCTCTTAAAAGAATTAATTGATCATTTACGCATTATGTGATCAAAAATGTAAAAGTTTAAAGAGTTCTTTAAATAAAATTACTTTAATTTAAAATTAAATAGCGAATTTTTTTTTTTTTTATATATATATATAAATTTAAGTTTATTTTTTTTATAATAAATACGGACCTAAAAATATAAAATGTAGAATTGGTCATAAATTCGAGATCACTATCAAATCATGATCTCAAATCGAATTAAATTTTTTATTTTTCAAGTTTTCAATCTACTAATCAAAATTATATTAATCACACTAATAAAAAATCATAAAATTAAAAATAATCCCGTGCTCTTTGAATTAATAAAAAACCGTGCAAAAATATTCAATATTATTTTATTTTAATTTGGTAAATTAAATAAAAAAAAAATAAACAAAGCAAATACGACTAATCTTGTAGACCAATAATACGAATATATAACTTTTATCAGAATAATTTGTGTATAGATTTACCTAATCACTAAGCAGACAAATAATTATATTTTAATTTTTAAAAATTCATAAATAATTAATCTTATCCGTGACGAATATAACAACTTTTGACATCATCATATTAACGATTATTGTTATTTGAAAAAATGCCAAAATAAAACGTCTCAGTATAGAGTGCATTTATCACCGAACCCCTGAAAAGGGCAATCTATTAAGTGTTCAATTATAAATCGACTAATTATTATAATATTATAGTGCAATATAATGTGATAGCAATACATTTATGTATCTTGACGTGTGATTGGTTGTTTGAATGTAATTTAATATGCACATGAATTAAACGCATTGTGCTGACGACAGAACGTATCAACGGAACGAGACGTTTCTCTCTCTCTCTATCTCTCTCTATCTCTTTCTGTCTCTCTTCATCATACAAAATTTTGCGTTTAATTCCAATTTGCTATATTATATATTACGTAATAACTTTAAAGTAGTTTAATTCACGTCTAATATAAATTAATACAAATGTCACGAAGTAAAGTGATATCCAAAAACCATTCTATCGCAGTCATCCAAAATCACGTATAATTGTATAAATACAAAATACTATATATATATTTAATGTATAGATATGTGGTATAGAAGTAATATGTATTTATATTTCAAGTAAGATGACAACGTTAAATTCTTAACTAAAAAATACGTATAGGAGAATTATTGAAATATACATAAGGTCACATAGGTATAATCTTATGAAATTAAAAATAATATGATCACCAGCGATGTGAATTCAATTATATATGATATTAACACTATCGATATGATAAAGAAACTAAATGTCTATCAACAATATTATTTTACGAACGCCACTTGCTTGTTTTTGTTAGAAAAACTCTTTAATATTTATTGTTTAAAACGTTCGAGTTTTAAGGTGTACGTATATCATTCTATCAACTATACAGATACAGTTTGCCGATCGCGAGGTAGTACTTTCGCGTATACGGAAGACAATCACACTTCGGTGTTGGGCATGCGAGAATTGAATCCGATGGTGAATCCACTGTGTCTAACTCGAAACGAAGCTCACGAGGCTTTGGACAAGATGCCGTCTTCGTCTACGAGCAATCGTCGTTCGGCAAATTTTAGAAATTCGTTGTTCGTTTATCCAGCTCAATCCAATTTTTCCGGCATGAAATATCCTCTGAAATGGATCGAAACGTGTCGGAATGGCGCGCTTGATCAGTACACCGGAAATCGGATCAAGTCTAGGTAATAAAAAATAATAATATTTTAAAATATCGTGTCTTATCGTTATCTTCTATGTTGTATATTACCGAGGGCGAATTTAAGTGGACACAGTAAAAGTTAAAACATATCAACCGTTGAGACGATTTATTCAAGGACTAAATTATACGTGTACAACAATAATGTACAATAGCCAATAACACATCATATTATTTTTTTTTTTTTAAATAATAGTAGTTCTCTTCTTTGTTTAATTAATTCTTATTTATCAAAACCAAGTAAAAAAAAAAATAAACACTTAAACAGTCATAATTCAATACACAATGCTTATTGCTTTAACATAATAATTCGTTCAGTGATGTGTACCTACTGTATATTAATAGTGCACATTTAAATAAAAAATCCTGTATTCCTATTATATAAACATATAGAGTAGCTGATATGTTCTAATCGTTTACCAAATTTCATAATATAATGTAGTGAAAACTACAGTAACAATAAAATTATAAGATTGTGCTTTATAACGCAATGTCAAATCTAAGACAATAACAAAATTTTATTTAATGAACAATTTATACATAATATTTTAATTCGAGATTTAAATAATTTTTACTTAAGTTCATTGTAAGATTAATTTAATAATTTTAAACCATCGCCTGTATAACTTATGTACCATGGACAATATTGATCTGACTATCTATGTATAATACTAAAATTTTAACTACGTAACATTACGAGTATAATTCATTTTATTAATAACGATAACCGTTCATGATGATAATAAATAATAATATAATAATTGAGCATTGTGCAGATGGTACACTGTCCTGGACGCCTCCTCTTACGTGCCCACTAACCATCTGGATTTGAAAAAATACACACCCGACTTTATTGCTGTGTCGTTTTACAAAATGTTTGGTTATCCAACTGGTCTAGGAGCGCTATTGGTCTGTAATAAAACAGGCGTGGCGGTACTCCGTAGAAAAAAATATTTTGGCGGCGGCACGGTTGAAGTGGTCCTTGCACGTGATCGACATCACGTGTTTAAAAAAAATTTCCATGAAAAGTAAGATTCTTTCTTGTATTAAAACTAATTTTAAAGTAATGTGTATATTATGTAATAAGTATTTATGTCATTTCTTGTGTTTACAAGTATATAATTTTATGAGTTATTCATTCGACGTATACAGCGGTGAACGTGACAAATTAATGTCCGTAGATTTAATATTTTTTAAACTTAATTAAATGTAAACTGCGCAGATTTTTAACACAGTCATTTAGGATATTTTGATCAAAATATATAGAATACAGGTCTAAAATTATACCCAATCATAAAAGCTATTTTATTTTCTATAACCAATGACAGAATAGTATATCAATGAAAATTGATATTTTTTTAGTGAATCAATACTATACTCAACATTTATGTATTGTTAAATAATAAAAGGCAAGTACCTAATAATATTTATTGAAAATCGGTCGAAAATTATGGATTTGTACAAGGGTCATTCGTTAAGGCCTCTGATTTGATGCATTAAAAAATAAATACAATTATAACGGCTCATCCTACGTGTCCCATAGGCCATGCCAAATTAAATAATACTAATGGATTAACGGTGTCTCAAATTCCAATATTCCACGAGCTATACATATTTTTAACACATTTGTTTGAGTGGTTTTAGCCAAATATAAAATTTCAAGTCTGAAATTATATCCGATTGTCTATTGTCACTATTTTATTTTCTATGACCAGTGGTAACTCAATAAAAACAAAAGACTATCTATATGTCCCAAACTTAAGAACTGCGAGCGAGTATGATAGATCTAACTGCACACATACAAATATTGACTTTTATTAAAAGTAATTCATGAGTAAATGAACGAGCATATAATATTATAATGCGTACATTGTACAGGATGGGATACCGTTTGTTCCAGTTTTTCGGAGAGCACGTCGCAATAGATCTGCACATAATTATATTTCGTTGTAAATGCATGAATGTTATATTTCAATATAATATATACACGCACATACTTACGCCTGACACAAAATCCATGCAACAGTAAGGAAAATAATAATAATCGCAATCGTAAAACGAATAAAACCAAAATCGATCTGGTCATCTGTTGTGCGCATTGCAACACTCCTCACCGCACGGGTGAAGTAAATCAACGACAATAATAATAATATAATTATTATAATATCATAAATACCTACACGACATAACATCACACGCGCGCGCGCGCGCCAAGCCCGGATTAAGGGGGGGGGGGCAGGAGGGGCCAAATCCCCCGGGCCCACGTGTGTTAAGGGCCCATAGTTTTCTCGGTTTAAAATTACATTAAGTGATAATTTATACTTTTTATAGTACCTACAAATAGTACTAACAAAAATATTTTATATTTTTTTCTTGTTTGAACTAACAGTCAATGGGGCCCGTCGACCGTATTTACCACCAATAGTATGGCAAGTGGGGAAACATAGCGTCATAGCCAGGTTTGTGTTTGTTGGGAATAGGTATATATTTTGATATTATTGTATTTAAAAATAGAATTGAGAAAATTTGTTTATGTGACTGTCTCGGTCATGGATACTCATAATTCAGATACCTACCGACTAAATCTGTTTACATAAACAAAACTTAATTTTATGTGTAAATATATATTTTAATAAAAACATAATATTTTTATCCTCATCAATCGTGATCATACTTAAATAAAAATGTTTAAATTTGTTTTATTGTATAATTTTATAATTTTAAAGAAATGTTTTTATTGACGGGGGCCCACAACCATGTATTGGCCCCTGGACCACTGAAGCTCTTGATCCGAGCTTGGCGCGCGCACACACACACACACACATACACACACACTATTTTTATAACTTAGAGTTTTGTAATATCGAGATAAAAAGCAAATAATGAATGTCAAATAAGATAGATGCGGTTCAATATATTTTTACGTTTATGGTATAAATGAACGAACGAGAGATTATATTATTATGATGATGCATCGACTTATTAATACACGTATTTAACACAGAAATAAATCGCGACATTCTATAATCAGTTTTTAAATTTATAACTGCCTTGTACACACACGCACACGTATACACGACATACACGTAATATTTATGTTTCCTTTTGTTCATATAGCAGACAGATGGTACGATTTATTTGTTTTTTTATTTTTTTTTGAATTCTCCGATTATTTTTTTTTAATTATTCGGATACCGAAAAGACGCTAATCTGGCGTGTGCTATATACACATACGTACTGATTGTGCACCTCTGTCGCAGGTTCGAAGACGGTACGGTCGACTTCTTGTCGGTGATCGCGGTCGGCCACGGACTCGACGCCCTGCGCGCGCTGGCCGGCCCGATGCGGGCGGTGGCCAGCAGGACGTTCAGACTGGCCGCGTACCTGTACGACAGGATGTCCGGGGCGCGGCACGGAAATGGATCGCCGGTGTTCCGGATGTACGCGGACACGGCGTACCAGTGCGAGAGCACACAGGGTGGCGTCGTGAACTTTAACGTGCTCAGGTCCAACGGCGAATACGTCGGCTACAATGAGGTCAGTACGAAAGCGCCGAGAAATTCCTGTCGATTTTTCGGCTGGCCAATCTGTCGTTTTTCGTTTTTTATACGGCGGGGTAAAAAAAAGACAAATTAGATTTACTACCGCGCGTTAAAAATCAGATTAAACATATTTTATTCAATCATCGTTACAAGTCCGGTAAACCAATATTATTATTATTATTATTACAATAGTGTCTTACGCATATCATTATTTGGTCACGAAAATCTGCGACCGTCTAAAGTCCATGTATACTACTATTTCCGTACGATCAAACTCACGATGACGCGAGTATATCATTACATGATTTCTAAATATTATTTACATTTCCATACTTATTGGATATTTATTTTATTTTTTAACGATATATTTATGAAACCAAAACAAAAAGTCTATCGATTATGGTTATTATTAGTCGCGTTGCATATTTTAACAACACGTACAGCACGTGACATCGTAACTAGAGTCATTCCAGAATTTTAAACACTTATATTATTTATTGTAAAAGCTGTCGTTATAAATTACAAAATATAAGTCAATAATATCTTCAAAGGGGTTCAATACTATTATAACCACAGATGGTCACATTGCCAGATTTAAATTTGACAGTAGAATATTCCCTGAAGTGTGTTTTGTAAATATCGACGTCATTTAAACCGGCGGCAGCTGGCTGTGATCCGCACAGCCGAAAGTGATCGTAAATAAAATTATATTTTTATGAGAAAATAGTTTTTTAAACTTATTAGTTAATAATGGTTGCTAATATTCTGTAATTATAGCAGTTCTGTATATACATTTTACAGTTAATACAACGAATAATTGAAATCTGGGAAATAATTTTGTTACGCGCTGTATTTATACATGACTTAGGTATCTATTAAAATTAAAAACGATAACACTTGTCCAATAATTAATTAATCAACTATCAGCTACACATTAATTGAACTGTAAACAAAATAATTTCAAGATAAAATTAATATGTTTACGCTATATATAAGTCGTATAATATATAATATTTATTAGTACGATTTGATTTTACTAAACCATATACAGAGTAATTCACTGACCATGCTCATCCCAGCATGCAATTATTCAAAATCTGATTTACGCAAATTTCATGTATTAAAATATATCCTCTACAGGTATTAAAAAACGGGCATGGACCAGTTGCGCCTAAAACAATATTTGTACTTTAGGTCAGTATACCAATTGCGCCGCTTAAATTTTAGGTCAGTACACCAATTGCGCTACATATATTTTAGGTTCCATATTTTTACATGGACATATGTAAGTTCCTACACAGCGGAAAAAGTTGCATATGTATATAAACAATTAAATATAACTAATATACATTCAAATATACTTAATTTAAAGCAAAACGTATACGAAATTACGGGAAAATACAACAAGCTACAAGCTGATAATAGGACCTATCCCAACATTCCCAACTCGACGTAGGGCGAAATATAAAATATCTTATTTATTATTATTAACGAACATAATATTATCATAAAAGTATGAATTTGAGTGATAGACTATAACGATGATGGCTATGACGTTATTGACGTGTATCTATGTGTATGATATTTTTATAGATTTATATTGTACAAATATTATTAATATTGACATTCATTTTATAATTTTTTGTATTGACTAAAAAAATATATTTATAATACATATTTTTATAAAAGCATTTTTATATACTAGGTGTAATGTAGAATAATATTATAAACCCTGAAAACAACTGAGCGCAATTAGTCTATCTATCCAAAAAAGACAAAGTGCAATTGGTATATCGACCCAAAAAAGACAGAGCGCAATTGGTATATTAAAAGGGTCATTTTAAGCGCAATTGGTAAACTCCCTTAAAAAACACCTTATTTTTTAATGATTGTGGTTTTTTTTAACTTTACTTAAGGAATAATATAGTATTTGGACTATAAATTATTCAATGAATGGTTTTTCTAAAAAAATATATGTACCTAACTCAAACTTTTATTGAATAGTTTCTCATTATATTCTCACTAAGGATAATAGATCCACGATAATAAATTTGGAAATTTCAATTACCTAACTAATAAATATTAATAAATCAACATTTATATAAATATGTAATTTGTAAAAATATCTCAAGTGTAATAATTACTAGATACGATATTACATCTATTTTATATTTTTGCAATATGGATTTTAGATTATATCATCCTTAGTATGAATGTTTTGGAACGACTTGTTTAAATTTTAAGTTAGGTACATAAAGTTTCTTTAAAAAATATTCAATATAAAACAAAGATTCTCATTTGAAAAACAGAAGTTTATATTACCACTCTTTACCACTCTTAATAAAAACATATTCATCAAGAAATTTAAAATGTTTTTGTTGATTTTAATGTTTATTAAACATCAAGCAGACATTTGACATCTCATAACAAATATGTTATGAAAGTATGTAAGTAGTTACGAACATTAAGCTAGAATACATAGATGATTGTGTAGAAAAATAAAGTTCAAAAATTACTTAAGATAGCTAACAGATAAATGACTTAAGTGGTTGAGTGCAATTTGGTCCTTAAGTTTATTTAAAATTTTAAAAATTCATCACTGAATGAAAAAAAAAAGAGTGGGCAGCATGTTTGGTGAACTATCCTGTTTATTAAAACCAATATTTAATATACTACCTACAAAACTTTAATCTGAATCAAAATTACAATTTTTATACTCAGCCATCTAATAGTTATACTTAGTTTAGTATTAAAAATAAAACTAAATCGTTTTAGTTATATAAATTAATTAAATTATAAATAACTTTTGTACGAACTAAATAGGTACATGTGCAAAACACTGTCCAAACAAAAAAAAAAAACAAGAACGGCAATTTAAATTGAACAATAAGTAAAAGTTTTTATAAATAAATGATTCTAAAACTGTAAATTATTTAAATTAGTAAAATTATTGAATATTAGATAGTTTACTAATAAATTTAAAAACGATCTCTCTGTATATGAGAATATTTTTCAATTGCTTAAACCCCACTTATTAATACTAGATAAGAATAATAACGTAATGTACCTACAAAACGTGCGTTGTTCGAAATAGTTGGGCAGTAAATGTTTAACTACACTCGATACGGATACTTCAATAATTCAAAGTCTATAAATTGCAGTATTAGTAAGTTTTTAACACATGTCTAATGTCTACTTAATCTTTAGTAAAATACCTATTGCTTAAATTTATAATATTTTTTTTTATTTTTAGTAAGTAGTTTAATACTGAAAATGTTTAAATGTCTTAATTTAAGAGTGTAGATTTTTACTGATTACTAAATTGTTTTTAATTTATATTACTGAGACAAAATCATTACAATTTAATAATTATTTTAATTATTAACGTTAAACGTATTTTTATTTGTATGAGCGCTATAAATTTATAGCACTATTTAAGTACTTACATAAAATTGATTTTTATTGTTTTTCGGGAATTCGTACAACTCTTAAATATTTCTCAACAACACAAAATGACGAATACCTGCTTAAGTTATAAACGTTAAAGTTTATTTTAATTAAAATTTAATATTTACAACGTCCAACTCGCATAGTTTAATTAAATAAACACAACTGTAGCAATTAATACTTTACTTGAATAATTTGAAATTAGTAATCTATATTTATTCGAAGACAATAATATCATTAATATTTTTACTGTTATAGAACACGTCTGAAAATATTGTGGACAATTATACTAATTATTAATGACGTGAGCAATAAAAATGATAGGCTTTTACTATACTTGAGTAAATATTATCACTTTAAAATTTATTAAATTAATAGGAAAGAAACTTAACAAAACAATAAAACCGCAAAAAATGACATAATATTTTTAATAATTTTCCGATTTATCATCACATCGATTACATCACAAACATTGCATATTAAATAAAGTAGTGTGCTGTAGGTTATTAGATTATTACTTTATAATAATATGTTTATGCGTATATGTTTTTATATGTACAACGAATCAGCCTATAATTAAACTCAGATTTGTCAAGTGTTGATCATAATATTCGTACAAGTGCCTATGTAATTATATTTGATATTGTTGAAATATAGAATAATATGCAATGTTCTAGGATTAAGTTAACATTGTTAGTTTTAAATATTAGCTATTATGATAACTTTAATAGAAGTGCTCTTCGTGTGAAAAAATGTAATGTTTGATTATGTATAAATATTATTATGTACTAAAATCGTTTTTCATCCAAAATGTATTCACAACATAGCGCATCCGAAACTCGATAAGTGAGACAAGAGTAGAGAAGATATTTTTTTTTAATTAGGGTCTTAGTGCATTGTGAGCACTCGTTCACATTACTTATTTTTTTGTCAGCGTAATTATATCAATTTTCTATTTTATTTAAAAACTAATTTTTCTATTCCTAAAGAAGTGGGGGAGGAAAGTTAAGCAATCCTCACAAATACGCTACTTATTCACAATGGTATGTTTTGTTTTTTATCATAAATTATTCAAACTATTGTCGTTTTCAGGTAAGAAACGTAGCCAATATCTACGGTATAGTACTCCGAGTAGGTTGTTTTTGCAACCCCGGTGCTTGTCAGGCGCATTTGGGTCTTACAGACCAGGAATTGAGACGAAACCAAGAGGTGATGTGAGTACCCGCGACCGAGTAATAACGCAATATTAATTATTCCAATATCGTTACTTAAGTACTGTTATATTTTGATTACTATTACAGAGGTCACGTTTGCGGCGATCATATTGATCTTATTGACAACCGGCCGACAGGATCAGTTCGGGTTTCGTTCGGCTATCAGTCGAGCAAATCGGACGCCGATACACTTTACAATACACTCGTCGAAAAATTTTGGCAGAACGATCCAGTGAAACCCGTTGACCGACAACAGAACACAGTCGACGAGTAATGACTATTGTTAATTAATTGTAATCAATTCGAACACTGCCGAGTGCAGACGTCGCACGCTTTGATATTCTGGTATCAGTGGTATCCAGTGACCAGTAGTATTTAATCGTATATTACTGGCGCCTAACATGCATGATCCGCCTCCGTCTAAATGTCCAAAAACTATTTTCTGATCATGCGATATCACAAGGAGACTTAATGTTTACTAACCTCTTAAAGCTTAAAATATTTGAAGTGTTAGAGTGTCCTGATAGTCGGCGTTCTTCTCCTTCTCTTCTTCTTCCTCCTCAAAAACAATAGTTAAATCATGTCACTTTACTCAGGTCAAATACCTATACATTGCATAATAATTCGATCATATTATACATGTTGACTGTATTATACAGATACAATAAAATGGATTTACATGTGTCGAGGATTTTCGTTTATCCGATCAAGTCTTGCGGGGCATACGAAACGGATGAATGGCAATTGGAATCATACGGGTTTCAATACGACCGAAACTGGGCAGTGATCAGTAAGACGGGAGTGTGTATGACGCAAATGGAAGAGCCAAAACTCTGTCTAGTGCGACCTTATATCGATTTACAAAAGAGAACCATGACCCTCGAATACGCCGGTAAGTCTCAACAGACTTTGATACAACGATACTAATTTGGTGCGTGTAGCCTACCAGCCTACGTATAAAATTATTTACAATATAGTGTTTGAAAATCACGATATAGTAATCAAAATTAAATTCCCTTGATTTAATCTGTCTTAAAATCCATTAAACGTAGCCGCGTAGGTAAACTACGCATATTTTTAACAGTTATTTGGGTAAAATACGAAATACAACCAATATAAGTCAAAAATTATGTATAATACAATATGTATGACTTTTTATTGTATGTAACCACAAACAAATGTTCAATTTTCGTGAACCCTATTCTTTAAAATGTAAAATTTAAAAATTAGCTTCGATACACATCTTCGGGTATAGGATTGCCAAAATAGTAACAAATACTGGAACCAAAAGTGTGATAAACTTGGCTATGGAATCGCTTACACACACATAAACATCGCATTTTTTAGTATAGATTTTCTGTTTTAAACAAATAAATATATTTAGCAATTTGGCATCCTTTATTAATAATTTTTTTATTATTATTATTATTAAAAAGAATGAAAAATATAAGTGACCACTCTGTTGTTTAATAAATGTCGAAGGTGTCTCATCTGCAGTCTTCATTGAGTAGGTAGATAACTAATCACTGTAATAGACGTGTTACATTTGAATTGAATAATAAATCATCATCAATCGGCATTGCCCGCGTTCCGTGTGGTCAACACGTTATCATGATATTATATTAAACTACAGTTAAAATATTTAACCAATTTTACACGGGACTGTAATTTCTCGATCAATACCATAAAATCGTGTTTATTTTCAGGGAAAATAAAATTGATTTGGATACACCTCAATAAAATACGACTGAGTAATTAAATACACATTTCTGACTAATATAGTTTAAAAAAAAAAACTTAAATAAAATAAATTAGGCGCCTATGATCATATTTTGACAAGTACACACACCCCTCACCGAACTCGTCAAGTAGGTGCACAGTTTTTAAAATAAAGTATTGAAAAACAAATACGAATGCATATTATATTCTATGTTTGAAATTGATCGTACTTGAACTCCGAGTTAATAATGATATGAGAATTTCGAAAAACTTTAACCATTGGTTAAAATATTATTGTGCAATATTTTCCTTAGCAATAAAAACAATCGTTTCTATTCCAGAAAACAAAGATGAAATTCCTATGGTAGTTTCACTGGATACGAAACACGACACCAAGAAAATGGGCAAAATATGTTGGGGTGGATCCCTGGAAGGAATCGACTGTGGCGACGAAGTGGCCGAATGGCTCAGTTGGAACCTCGACCAGCCCGGGTTGAGACTCATAAGGTGCACTGTCCGTAAACCGCCAGTGCAAAACAAGTATGGTAAGCTATTAAGTCACGCGAATTCCGCGTCAAACAAAATATTACGTAAGTTAGGCCGCCAACTGATTTAATCGTTGCATGAAAATGTCTAAATTCGATTTTATTACATTACGGTAATAGAGTTATTGAACTCGCAGTTAATGAACTCATTCGCCAATAAGATTTAAAAAGGCTAGTCTCGGTTTACATACGCAGGTACTAATGACACGTGAAAAAAATAGTCTATTAGACTCGCTGTACAGCTATTGATTGATGGCTTAAATGTGTATGTTCAAATGCATATTTTAATATTTTTTTTAACCGTTTTCCCGAATTCATAGTAGGTATACATTTCGACAATTACCTAATACTTTTTCCTTGACTTGTCACATCTAAAAGTAAATTTAAATTTTTTTAAATATTCTTTTTTGACACAATTTCACGTCGTAACGAAACGAAATTTTAGGAATGATAAGAATTGTCGCTGCTTTTCGCTATAAATACACAACGTTAATACCTACCAATTAATTTTAATTTTATGCACTTTAGGAAAGTTAGACCCAAAAGTATTGGGTGCTAACCAATGCCAGTATCTATTGACCACAAAACCAACGCTCAAATGGTTACAGAGCGAAATGGAAAACGATATAACGGAAATAGTAAGATACATTTTATCATTGTTGTTCATAATTGAACATAATAATATTATATCGCATTATCTTAGAGTGAAGATAGTTTGCTATTTCGATTCCGAGGTAACTTAGTGATCTCTGGCAACGATCTACCAGCCTATGCCGAATTGACTTGGGACCAATTGGACATCGGAGGTGTCAAATTTCAAGTACGACAAACAATTTATATATATAATATTCTTATTTTAATTTCAATTGTAGCGTGAGGTACCTATCATTAAATAATGCCACAAATTATGTTCATAGTTTGATTCGGCATGCGAAAGGTGCAAAATGGTGAATATCGATCAGGACACATCGGAGAGCAATTATAAACCACTGTCCATATTAGCCCAACACAAGTGGCAAGACAAAAGCATTTTCGGAATCTATATCAAACGAGAAGATACGCAAAAATGTAAAATACGAGTTGGACAAAAATGCACAGTTATAAAAAAAAATATGTGATTTGTGAGGATATATAATTACAATGTGATTATAAGTGTATGTTTGAATGAAAAAACAATTTTGACACGATAATCGTGTACCTAAATCATGATAAGAGAACGAAAGCATTATTTTTTTATGATTATAAATATTTTTACTACAGTTATTAATGTGATCCTCGGGCCTTAAAGATGTCGGAATAAAAAATATAATTATGCTTAATTTGGACGCACACGAATTGATGTTCCAGTTAAGAATTAAGAATATAGTAAATATATCTTTATGTCATATTACATTGTAAACGAAAAGAAATTATTATAGGTATCTATGAATTATTACAGACTAGGTATATTTTTTCTCGTAAATATAAGCTATTTGAGCAATAAATGAATACCTACCTACTTGTTTAAAGAAAAGAAAATATAGGTATTTAGTAATGCGATTTGGACACTTCAAAAACACTAGGCCCTGGGCCAGCCGTGGCCATGTCATATCCATGCCTCGAGTATCTGAGCCCTCTCCATATGTTTTCTAATGACATTACTAATGTAGATTCGTTTTACAGACATTATAATTGAAATGGTTATAATAACGACATATTATATTGGATACGAAAAATAAATATTAATGTTTAAATAAAATGTTACTAATAATCAAGTAATGACCAGGTATAAGTTATAACATATCCCTTGATACAGTATACGGGGCTACTTAAAAATTAACAGATTTCAAGGAGTATAAGATATTTTTAAATTTAACTCTACGACTCTGTATATGTATACAGGCTGACTTCAAGTTTTTTACCATGATTTGATATTATTCTCCGTTAAAACGTTTAAATTTATCCTGAATCGTATTAAATCTCACAAAGATTCACTCACGATTGCTTTTAAAGCTCCACTCATTAACCTCATCCGACTAACCCCATTAAAAAAAAAAAAAACACGATTACATATCGTTACCTATTATTATATTCAGGTATTAAAAAATTGTTAATTATAATAACGAGTTAGAGTCGGAAGTTATAATGAGTATATATGGATGATAATACACCCTAATATTATGAACCTTAGTAATACCATTGATTTTATAATCAATGCTGATACTATCGTTTATTCCAATAGTCGGCAGGGGCGAAAAGTACCTATCAAATTTGGTTTTTGTCGCCCGCGATTTTATTTTAAGTTTAATAAAATATGTTATCCATTAATAAACTACGAAACATATAAACTTAGTAAATAAATGTATTTGATGATCTATTGTAGACTGTAGTAAATATATAGTATTCAGTATTCAGAATGCGTTTTAGAGTTACAGTATGTCAAATATAATTGATCTTATATAAAATATTTATTGTATGCTCATACGATGTATACAATACAGGTAGAAACTCTCATTAATGATATATTATTATATTAGTATATTACCAATATGTATAGCAAAGTAATAATAAAGTGATTCATGAAAATAACTATCGGCAAAATAATATAATATCGAAGGAATTCTTAATTTCTATTTTGAAATTATACATAGGTAACACGTAAGAAAAACGAAAATAAAATATAATATAGTTGTACTTAACGTCTAGTGTATAATATTATAATATTAATGTACGTGTGAGTGTGTGTATATATTACAACTTGGTCTTAAAAATAGCTCAGAGATGAAAATATTATGCTTTCGTCGTCGCGATCGATTTAACATCTGACTACATGACATTATCGATTCTTGTTAACAAAGTTTATATTATACTGTATCACATAAACATGAATAGAAATGTACGCATTTGCAATATTAACATAAAATAATCATCACAACACCAATTATACGTATCACGCCGCTACTATAATAAGTATAATATGCTAATAATAACATTAAATTCTAGAGAGGGAACTTTTGAGAGAAAAAATACTCTTATTGTTAGACTTATTTCATCGTAATGTATTCATAATATCAGCAAATATCGAATACATTTATGCATTTAATGTATATCTATGTCGATGATATTGAATTGAGTCCATGCTACTTATATGTGTTTAAATTGAGTCCGTAAAGATAAAATACCATAGCTAGGTACCTACATAGCCGGTAACGAATTTTTAATATTTTGTTATATTTCCAAAAATAATAAGACTAGTATGTACCTACTTGAAATTTCCAAATTATTATTTTCAATATCTAATATCTATATTATGATAAAATTTTCAATAAATTTTATTTATTTTTTTAAATATTTACAGGTATGACAAATTTTCAATTTTTTTTTTAGTATTTTTCCATAATTATTGTCGATAAAAAATATTTTCTTAGTAAAAAGTACCTTTATTTATTATTATTTTAAATACTTTTTAATCAATTGACTCTTTATACTTATTATTACAATTAAAGAAAGGGCTCAACTCGAATAACCTAACAATATTGATCGGACCCAACTCCGATAATCCAAAAGTATTTGGGGGCCTCAATTCAATGTTATCCGTATATATGTATTACGAACAACGTATATAGTTACATTGCCCGGTCAATGTGAAATTGAGAACCACAAATTTTTTTTTACCAACTAATATTATTTTTATTTTTTTATCACAACCTATTTATAATAAAATAATATTTGAAATTTTTTTTCGTTATTTTATCAAAATATTCATTATATTATGATATATGAATAAAATCAATAATACAAATTATTATAAATTAGTTAATAATAAAATTATAATTTATAGTAAAAATAATATTAGTTGATTAAAGAAAAAAAAAATTTAGTTCACAAATCACAATGTACCTATTTTACACATTGCCCAGTATCTCGCATTACCCGTAATATAATATACACGCAAAACTTGATTGCTCTTCTGCCGGTTTTATCACAGACAGGATGGTTAAATATCTAAATACAACCTATAGCCGGAGTCCGAAATTATAAAAAGACACCAGATCGAGCATTGAGAATACTATGAATATGCTTGAAGACTTCATACATACAATCGAACAGAATGATGGGTTATGCTTATAAGATAAATTCGATGGCTTCTGCAGGGGCCTTAACACACCTATATGGTATGATCAAGACGTGCGTTGGCGCTTAGGAATGGGTAGGCACGCTCGAGAGTGATGATGGCGGATTGATAAACTGAGGTAAACTTCCTAAGGTCTAACAAGCCCAGTGACGTGGAGGTCCCAGAGGTCCCAGAGTTTAACTCAAAGCAGGATGGGCGCTCGACCTAATATTTCGAGGACGATGCATACAATTATTTAATATTGCATTTGAATGATGCATTATATTTGCGAATAGAAGAAAAAATTCTTTATGCTCCGGCAGTTGAACTCCGATATTTCTTTATGTAGTTGGACGGACTTGAGTAGATAGACCTCAAGTAGACTTCCCCCTGCCAACACACAAGTGTACGTGAGTCTCCAAGTCAAGATAGGTAGGTTAATTCTTTTTATTTGAATTACCTCCCACAGCATACCCACCCATTACCTATAAAGTATAGATAATTATTTATTACGAATTAAAATTTAAGATGATTGTAAAATTTAAAATCAATATTATTTGACTCATGCCAAAGTAATTGTACCTATAACTAAAATCATACAAGCAAAAATGGTTATTTTTAATTATTGAATTTCGTAAGAATTGAACATCTAATTAACATCTGTTTATAAATAGACATTGTGCATGTTATGTTTTTTCGATATTTTTATAATGGCATAACAATTTGTATTTAAGAAGAACCATTCGCTAAATTTTTTAGTTTTGTCGACTAAGAAAAAAAAAATCTTTATTTAAATAAAAAAAAAAATATATATATATATATATAATGCTAAAATAGTATAATTGTAATTGTCTACGGATAGATTACCTAAATAATAAGTCTAAAAATTACCTACGCGACTGTTTACAAGTGACTGCAACTTGGCAGTCATTTTATACACCAGCAAGTGTTTTTCCTGACGACAGACGAGCGACTGGTGACCATCGAACGAATACGGTAAATCGAACTTTAGATTACTAGATACTTAAGAGATACTGTCGACATAGTTCCAAAAAATCACTTCTGATATGATGGCCGAAACGCAGCGCTCGAAGCACCGACGATTCTTCCACTTATTTTCAAGTACTAACATGCTAGGGAACTGCAACGTATGGTCGAGTACAAAAATTTGATGCCGCGTAGTTGAAATATATGCGATCTCTAAATTGCGAAATATTGAATCCAGTGTTTATTTCAGACCTTCTTTACCGGGAGGAGGGTAATACCTAACCAGCTAACCCTGAAATAAGCACTGGTCGAGTACTACACTGACATTAGCGATTTGCGCAACAATAAATGTTGGACATTGGTGCTGCTATCACCTTTAACTTCGGTAGATAGATACGTTCTTTTCCGCGTCAATCTTCGAGATTTGTACAAAAATTTACAAAATCGTATTGCGTGAGAGCACGCACGGCAGACAAACAATATACCAATAATGGACAATGATTTGAACTTACAGTCATGTCTACAAATTTCAATATTGATTTTATACGATGCCACTCTGTATCATTATAATATATTTTAAATATTAGCTACCGAAGAATGTGTGGTGTTCAAAGAGTGTGAATTTCTAATCTATACGCATTGGAATATTGTTTACATTTTTTTTTCATTTTTATTTAGTCACATACAATACAATAAAAATATATTTTATTACGGTGTGTTATTGATAAGATAAATAAATTAGTGTTTAATTGTATAGGAATGAGGTTATTATTTTTTGTACCCAAAACAAACGCATACAAGTAATAAACCACAATACATAAAATTATGTATCTAAAACACGTTTTATAAATTCAATACAAAAATGTAGACATATAAGTATATGAAGAAAATTGATATACAGTACAACAAAAGATTTGTTTTGCTTTTTTTTTTTTTTTTGCAAATCAGAATGAAGCACCACAATTTTGTCTAGTTTAATTAGTAATTTTTTTTGTTTTCTTACAACAAAATATAAAATACTAAAATCCTAAAACAATCCATATAAAAATTACTAATATTATTTTTCGGTAAAAAAAAAAATAATAATAATAATATTAAACATATAAATGTACAAGTAATTTTGTTCATAATCCTATAATTTGGATTTAAGAACAATGTAATTAATTATATAAATATATAAATTATGGGCTAATAATATTGTTTATTTGCAATTTAAACTAATAACAAATTAAAATAAATAATTTAAAGTATAAAATAATTATATATTTATATTGAATAATTATAATTTATCAGTAACATAAAATAATAAATGTGAGCTTTCAAAACACAAAGAATATACATAAATATTAATGTTT